CCAGTAAGACCCAGCTCAGCTGTCTCCACACACGCCTAGTCTCCCGCACAGCAGTGTCTCTTAGTTCTGAGCTCCTCCTACCAGTCTGGCTACAGTCACACATTCTCAGAGAAGGCCAGGGTCTGGCCTTATGGACTATTCTAGTGTTCTTATAAGGCCTCCTAAGTGACCTTAGGGAGGGGAGAGCAGGCCCCAGGACCAATCACTGCAGCTTCTCTCAGTGGTAGAGCAGGGAGAAGCAAGGGTGGCTGCTTGGACATTTTCACCGGAGAACCATTGCTGACAGCCTTGGGCAACTCCTGGACCTTGATTGATACAGCTTTTATGCTGCAGCATAAGTTGGGAAATCTATGGAGTTCTCTTGGTAGAGTTGATAGAATGCTTGCCTAACTTGCATGAAGCCCATTTGATCCCCTGTACTGCACAAACCAGGCTTAACTGTCTCCTTAAGAGATAGTGGCAAAAGAATTAGGAGCTCAATATCATCCTTGGCCACATATCAAGTTCAAGACCATCCTGAATTATATGAGATGCTATGAGCACACACACACACACACACACACACACACACACACACGCACACACACTCCAAGTCCAGCCAAATCTTTTCCTTCATCTTCCTAGGTGGTCAGCATTGCCTGGTATGTAGTAAGAAGTCCTCCCCTTGTCCCTGAGCATTGGCTGAGCCCTTGGTTCCTGTGAGAACACAGCCATAGAATGGAGGACTGATAGGTTGAGCCTGGAAAGATGGGTCTGGGAGGAGGAAGGTATTTTGTGTAGGAACAGCAAGCTGGGTCTGGGATGAGGAAGGTATTTCATGTAGGAACAGGAAGTTGTAGGCACAGGGGTTGGTTGTCCTCTTTCCAGGGGGCCCCACCCTCCCTGGGATGCTTACCCCATGTTTATTTTAGCTGGAACAATTCAACACAGCTTCCCAAGCCCTCACTCACCTCCTCCTTTAAGCAATAGCCAGCCTTTCTGGGGTCCACCAGGTAGACACCCTGTGTGCAGCTGAAAAGTCTCAGGGAACCACTGTCACCCCTTCTCATAGCAACAGTCATTTACCAAGCACACGCCTGCTCCCAGCTGTCCCCACCATGGGGAGAACAGCTCCACACAGAGCTTGAGCTAGGGCAACCGACTCTTTAAAGTCTCTACTCTGCGGCCCTTCCCAAAGCAGCTGTCCACCTCCTCCTGATGAGCCCTCTCCGCCCATCCTCAGGCACCAGATTCTCTTTCTCTGATCTTCAGGCCACCACACCCCCTGATTTGAAGGGGTCTGGAGTTTTTCAGACCCAAAGAACCCTTCACAGTGTTCAGTTCACAGGACCTCCTCACATCTCTGACTTTGTGAAAGCTCCCTACGCTTTCTGGACTTCATTTGTTCATCTATAAAATGAGTTTCTTAGGCTGTTAAGACACCTCAGTGGGTAAAGGCACTTGCTACCAAACCTAACAACCCTTGTTCCATCCTGTATTAATCAGTGCCCTATTGCTAAGAAGAGACACCACAACCATAGCAACTCTTATACAGGAAAGCATATAATTTGGGCTAGCTTAGAGTATCAGAGGTTTAGCCCATTGTCATCATGGCAGGGAGCATGGCAGCTTGCAGCAAACATGATACTGGGGAAGCAGCTGAGAGTTCTATATCCGAGTCCACGGGCAGCAGGAAGGGAGAGAGCTACCGGGCCTTGCTTGAGTCCTTGACACCTTAAAGCCCATTCCCAGTAACACACGTCCTAATCCTTTCAAACAGTGCCATTCCCTGGTGACTGAGGATTCAAATGGTTGAGCATATGAGGACCATTGCCATCCAAACCACCACATTTCCTAGACTGTCTTAGTTAGGGTTTTTGTTGCTTCAGTGAAACAGTATGACCAAAAAGCAGGTTGGGAAGAAAGGGTTCACTGGGCTTATACTGTATTCCACATTGTAGTCCATCACTGAAGAAAGTCAGGACAGGAACTCAAACAGGGCAGGTCCCTGGAGGCAGGAGCTGATGCAGAAGCCTTGGAGGGCTGCTGCTTACTGGCTTGCTCTCCATGGCTTGCTCATTTACTTATTTATACAGTATTCTGCTTACTTGTATGCCTGCAGGCCAGAAGAGGGCACCAGATCTCATTATAGACGGTTATGAGCCACCATAAAGTTCCTGGGAATTAAACTCAGACTTTTGAAAGAACAGCCAGTGTTCTTAACTTCTGAACCATCTCTCCAGCCTCATGTCTGCTTTTTTATAGAGCCCTGGACTACCAGCCCAGGGGTGGCACCACCCACAATGGCCTGCCCTGCCCCCCACTGATCACTAATTGAGAAAACGTCCTACAGCTGGATCTCATGAAGACATTTCCTCAACTCAGGCTCCTTTGTCCCTGATGACTCTAGCTTGAGTCCAGTTGACACACAAAACCAGCCAGTAGACTGGACCTGCATGATGGAAGGAAAAAATAAACTCCTACAAGCTGTCCTTTGACCTCCACATGTGTGCCATGATTTGCATACACTGACATACACAGACACACACACAATAAGTAAATAAACACAATATTATAAAATGATGTCCCTAATAGTACCTGTTCCCTGCAGTGATCAGAGAAACCATGTCTTGAAGGGCTCGGCTCGTCACGGCAAACTGGCAAGGTTTAGTGGGCCAGCAACACCATAACCTGTGTCACTCAAACTACCTGAGCAGATCCTGCGAGTAGGCACATCAGCCAGGCCACGCCACCTTATAGCCTCAGCTCCAGAGCTGTACCAGCAATGGGCTAAGCAGAGCCTTGGGAGAATTTATCCACAAGAGACAGACAAACTCTCAGGCAAGATAAGACTCACTCACAAAGCAATTAGTAAAAATCCCAAGATAACTTAAAAGTATTAGATTGTTGGGTGCTCTCTCTGTGCTAATAGAAAGACAGGTTTGTATGGCATTGAGAGTTTACCTGGCACTTAGAACAAGATCTGTCATTTCTCGGACTCCTCAAAGCAAATCTGTACAAAAGTATTATGATGCACAGCAGAGGAAACCGAGGCCCGCACAGATGAAATGATTGCTCTGTGCTCCTGCTCCCAGCAGCATATGACTTAAGAAAGACTTCAACCTGCTTCTAACTTCATATAAAATAGTTTTCCAGTTAGGTGTTACACTTCACTGTGTACATGTGATGGTAGTGGGCTGGGGGTGGGGTGGGGTGGGGGAGGTGCTTGTGCATGCTCTGGCTGCCATAGTGACACATCACAGACCATGTGCTGTTCATGTTTATTTTCTCCCAGATCTGGAGGATGGAGTTTCAGATCAAGGTACCAGCAGAGGTGGTTTCACTCTGAGGCCTCTCTTTCTGGTTTGTAAACTGTCTTTTTTCCCAAAACATCACAATTTTCTCTTTGTGTACATGTCTGGGCCCTTTCCACTTTTTACAAGAACACTACCCACTGGTCCAGGTCAGTAATACATTTTTTTCTGTTTGTTCCACCAAAGTTAAAGGGCTGGGGAGACAGTTTAGCAAGTAAAGTACTTGCTATGGAAGCCTGAGAACTTCAGGTCACACGTAAGTCAGATGAGGCAGTGCAAGCCCAGCACTGTAGTCAGAATTTTGGTCTGTTTAAAAGCAGTTATGTTATGTGAATATGTTTTTGTTTTAATCCCAGCTGTGGGATATGGGGCTGCTTCAGGTTGTCCACAGCCGCTATGATTTATCTCGTGCTCTATGAGGGGTGTGATGTTTGCCAGCTGCAGATGGTTTATGTTTGGAACTCTGGGGACTCTTGAGAGGATATAAATTCAAGAGTTTTAAGAGGGCCTGTGTTGGCTGCTGCTCCCTCTGCTGCTGCTTTTGCTACTGCTGGATTGCTGGATTGTTGGCTGCTGGTTGCTGGTTGGCGATATTCTAATGACGAAGATTGGACTTGCCCCAAGGAACTCGATGCTCCTAATCTGCAGGACGTAGTCTAAAGAGGTATACTCCTCCTTTCCCCTCTAACCTTCTTTCTCACCTTCCTAGTGTTGGAGACTTGGAAGGGATTGTAGCAGAGAAGTGTGGTAGATATAGGAACCCAAATAAAGTAACCAAAAAGCCCAGTTACACAGCACTCGTACAGCAAGATGGGAGGCAAAGACAGGGGATCCCAGTAAGTCTGAAGGCCGGCTAGTCTGCCCTAGGCAGCAGATGCCTCCAGTAACACACACAGACGCAAAACAAAATTCAAGACATATTCGTAGGTCTCAGTCGGTATAGTGGCCCCCGGACAGTGAGTTTGTGGAACCTTAGAGGTTGCATGTGTCTGACTGTGGATGGCAGAGTTCCAGAACCTGTGATATGGCTCTAGGGGTCACTGCCATCCCTGCCCCCAGTAGGTTCAGCATCCCCACTCTTCCCTACTGAACGCTGGTTCTCAATGGCTACCTTTCCAGTCGTGGGCTCCCGGCAGCCTTTCCTTCAGGACTCAGGTACCGCAGAGATGTGGCTCTGGCATGTTCCGATGGGACACACCCATCAGACTGGTCCTGCCATTCTCAAATCTCTGGGGAGAAGTTCCTGAGGCCCAAGCAGCCATAAGGGGGTGGGGAGCAATAGCATCATCTAGTACCCAAAACAAAAACAAACAACCAAACTTCCTCTACTTACTTCTACCTGTCTTTCTAGAGGAAAGTCCACCATCCAAGGCATGAGGGCTGCCGCTGCACTGCCACTTGTGGGCTTGCATTTGCCTGAAACTTCTCCTGTAGCAATAATACCTGAACCTAGTAACATAATAACTGAAAAGCCAGATGGCTTGGTTGGTACACCAATGCCTTCTGTCCACATCACCAGCACAGGCTTCCCTGGCTCCAGCCTGCTCTGCTGAGCCAGCATGGTGCAACAGATGGACATGGATCTGGCGGCACTGGAACTTTCCGTGTAGACCAGGCTGATCTAGAACTCACAGAGACCTGCCTGTCTCTTCCTCCAAATGCTGGCATTAAAGACGTGTGTCACTACATTCAGCCGGGACAAGAAACTTTAAAAATATTTATTTTTATTATTTTTAATCATACATAGGTGTGTGTATCTGTGCACAAGTGCACTGCCCACAGAGGCCAGAGGTGTCAGAACTCCTGGAGTTATAACATAGTTGTGAGCCATCTGACATAGGTGCTTGGAACTAAACTTGGGTCCCCTGGAAGAGCAGTGAGAGTTCTTAGCTACTATCTTGTCCCAGCCAGCCCTGGGACATGAGTCTTCAAACCAGTTCCAGGATGGCTATTCTGAGGGGTTCCCTGCACAAGCTGTCCACCGCTGGGACAGGCCCTCAATTGTGTCCCGCAACATCTGTGTCCAGTCCTCTCCCCTCCGCATCAGGATGCAGCGTGTCTCCTTGTGCTCCAGGGCTAGGATCTCTGCAGGAGTCTGGGGAGTCAGCCCAGCGGCCTGGACAGTTTCTGGGAATTTGGCTGCAGAGGCAGGGGCCAGGCAGCACCTGGGGATGCTACAGAGGATTGGCCAGGAAGGGGGAGAATAGGCAGAAGGATGGGAAAGGAGAAGACAGAGTGAGGACCAGAGGAAAGGTTAGCATAGGGTGTGGCAGAGAGCAGAGAGAGACAAAGACATGATTAGTAAATACCTTGAACTTAACTGTATCCCTGCAAAGCATCCCAATAAAGACCCAGCTCAGCCATCACCTCCCCTCATAACCTAGGCTACAGTTCACACATCTAAGCACAGGTCTAGTTCTTGGGCACAGAACCACCGTGCCTGCTAATGTCATTCTCCTTTACCCTGCTTGGAAAGGAGGCCTGCTCCCAGTGCCCCAGACTGCACTGCTGGTACCTGGACTGCCCACCATCAGTCTGCTTGTAATGGTAGTTCACTGCTGTAGCTGAGTGGGGGCACAGTAGATACTTGTTCTCCTCCCAGCAGCGGCCCATGGTCTGGGTGATGGCCTCATCAGATACCGACTCAGATGTCATTGCCTCTGAAAGCTGAAGAAGGGTCAGGGGTCAGGAGTGGATGTCGGCTCGGCGAGTCACAGAAGGACTAAAACCCTGTTACACACATAGTCACACCAACACCAGGAACTCAGCTGGATGGTCCAGACTGAATACTGGCCTAGCTCATAGCAAAATCAATTTTCTAGTTTTGAGCCAATTACAGTTTTGAGCCTACTTAGCAGAAGGATTCATAGAAGATTTGGGTACCCCTCCATGTGTTTAAGCAAATGAATCTAATCAGCACAGTCTCATTCTCCAGCAGGACGCAACACAAATTATGGGTGTCCAAACATTTATAGCATGAGAACTACCCTGTCAGTTCCTACCCTGCTTAGGAGCACCTCCCCTGGGAAACCTTCTAGTACTCACAGGCAGAGGAAGACTCTTGCCAGTGTTCCCTGAGGATGTTTGGCATGCCAGGCCATTCTCTGAAGATGTTCTGCATGCTTGTAACATAGCAAACATCCTGCATGTACTTAACGACATCAGAGATCATGTGGTTTATAGACTGCTTAGATAGCTACTTCCTGGTTATGGTCAGAGATGGCAACCAAATTTTTTCCTCTTTCTCCTCCTCCTCCTCTTCCTCCTTTTCCCAGTTCTGAGGATTGAATGCAGGGCCTAATGCATTTTAAACATTTGCTCTGCCACTGAGATGCATTACTGTGTAAGATAGCTGTACTTTTTCTTTGTATTTCCAGTACCTAACAACATTCTTAACCATAGCAGATAGATAATATGAATGGATGGATGGATGGATGGATGGATGGATGGATGGATGTTTGCCCTTTCAGCAAATGCAGTGTCCTTTGAGTACAGCCAGGGAGAAAAGGAAGAAACAGGGGATAGTGTTCACTTTTAATGAAGGATGTCATTTACATAAGGAGAAGGAATATTGATGTCTGCACAAACCATGGGCCGACAAATGTTTGGCTATGTCAAAAGCAGCCTAAGGCTGGGGAGATGGCTCAGCTATGCAGAGCACTGGCTGCTCTTGCAGAGGACCCAGGATCAGTTCTCAGCACCCACATGGTGGCTCACAACCACATGTAACTCCCATTCCAGGGGATCTGATGCCCTCTTCTGGCTTCCACAGGCACTGTATGCATGTGGTACACATACATACACACAGGCAAACATGTTAAATAATGGATTTTTTTGGTTTGTTTAATAAAAGCAGCATAGATTCTCTAAAATAGGAAAGTGCCACTCTGGTCTTCAAGGGTATAGCTCAACCCAAATAACTGTGTCTGGTTTTGAGAAGATCCCCTCAATAGAGACACCAACGATGGACAATTAGGTCATATAAAAGACTAAGTTAAAAAACTGTGAAGGCCAAGTTGGCAAATAAGGGTTTTCTTTAAGTGGAAGACACCGAGGTAAAACCAGACTGTGCAAGCTAGAACGGGCATAGTCTAAACCTTTGTGATCATTAGAGCTTTAGTACGGTAATGTGGTTCCCATCACCCAGTGGAGGGATACAGAGCTCACAGGACCACTGAGTGGGAATGAGGTACAGAAATTTAGGATATCCTGTAAAAGAAGAACCTATCATCAGGCCTGCTATCTATCTACCTATCTATCTATCTATCTATCTATCTATCTATCATCTATCTACTTATCTATCTCTCTATTGCACGATGTTCTTATTTATTTATTTATTTATTTACTTATTTATCTATTTATTTATTTATCTGTCTATTATTTATTTATTTATTTATTTATTTATATGAGTGCTCTATCTGTATATGTGCCTGCCTGTCAGAAGAGGGCATCAGATACCGTTATAGATGGTTGTGAACTGCCATTTGGTTGCTGGGAATTGAACTCAGGACCTCCGGAAGAATAGCCAGGGCTTTTAACCACTGAGTCATCTCTCCAGCACCCCCTCTCCATTTGAAGCAAATTTTAATTAAATACTGTCCAGGAAGATGGTCTCTGGCCAGGTCCATCCCTGAGTTCCCAGAAAATGGCCCCAGGTTGCATTTAAATAAAGCAATGCCTTCTAACTAACTTCCTAAAATAAATAAAACTTTCTTATTAATTAAATAAAATTTCTCCTTCACTATAAGAAAGACAGAGACAAGGACAAATGAGGATGATAAAGGTCAGCAGGAGCTGTGCTCTCTGTCCATACTGAAAGGGTAGAATAGCTTTGTCCTTGTTGTATAGTTGTTGCTATTATTGGAAATTAACAACACTAAAAATAGAAATAGTAACTGTATGGAGCTGTATATTTCCAGCAGGATGGGAAGTGTCTCTCACTTATCTTTGACTCCAATCTCACAGCAACCTTATGAGACAGGCATTCTTATTCTCACTCTACAGATGAGGAAACGGAGATGCTGCATTTGGAAAACTAGCTTAGTGTTTCACAACTGACTCTCCTCATTCAGTCAGTGCTAAATGTCAAAGTTCCTGGTTCAAAGAAGACACTCAAAGGCCAGGTGTCTCCTGCCCTCTCCCAGACTTCCAAACCTCAAGCCTGTCCTTTCCTTCCTCCATGGGACGCTGTGGGAGGCACAAAGGTCTCTGTGCTCACAGATATGCACCAGGGGAACCTGGAATGTTAACGTGTTCCTTCAAGACAAGGAATGTAATCAGTGCTATCTACCTAGAAGGTAGGGTGGAGACTTACTTACTAGTCTGGTGACCTTCGCTCTGAGTGGTAGAGACTTCTCCAGCACTGGATCCTCCCCGAGACACTTATCAGTCAATCTATAGAACCAATCTTTATGGACTTTACAATGAGTTTTGATGTAGTTATGTCTGATCTGTATGTAGCTTATTCTGTTCCTCAAGAACAAAATATGCTTTGCTGTGCACATGGGACTGAGTTAATGATTACAAAAATAACATTCATCACATTGCGCTGTGCTTAAAATGTGCCTAAAATCAAACATCAGAGGTCAGACTCCAGAACTTTGAACCAGCACCGTCTACTGAGTGCTGTTAACCCGAATTGCTTTCTTGCCTCTCTGGTCATGCTGCTGGCTGGGGAGATCACACAGACCCCGATTCCCCAACCCCTTAGAGTGTAGCCAGTGACCAACCTTGCTATGTAGCTCCTCTGGTAGGTGCAGACTTTGGGTTTTTTCAAACTGTTCCATGAGGGCCCTTGTTGCCTGGCTGTCAGAGCCAGAGAGCAGCCAGAAGATCCTCTCCATGTTGTAGGGCACCTGAATGGAGAGGCAGAATCATAGGCCACCCTCCTTCCAACCCTTAGCCATCCTGCCCCACCAACATCTGTCCAGACCAGACTTTCTCTTCTCCCACAGGCCCACCTGAATGTCCATAGCAGATGCCAGGCTTGGTTTGACGTCACACAGAGAGAACTCTCCCTTCTGCACAGTCCTGTGAATGATGTCATTGCGATTCACTGTCACAGCCAGGCAGATGGGCAGGCCCATCTTCTGAGCAATGCACCCAGCTTGGGACAAGACAGGAAGACAACAGGATTTTTGGACAGAGACAAAGAATTATTTTTAATTTGAGGTTAATAAAAACATAAACCTTTTGCTGTGTGAAAATGACAATAGAGAAGATGGGAATGAAGATAAAAGATCGGAGAAGAGGAAGACAAGGAGGAGGAGGAGGGTCATGGCGCCCTGTTCTTTGTTTCTGCCACCTACCAGAAATTAACCTACATATGAAGTTTTGTGAGTCAACCCACTGCAGGAGAGGGAGTGAAGGTACTACAGGCAAAATGGCAGAGCCCATGTCTTTTGCTCCATCTTTTTTTTTTGTGTGTGTGTGGGGGGGGTACTCTAGTTGTTCCTGTTGACATGCCAGGCTAGTGACCCACAGCTTCTGGGAATGCTCCAGTCTCTGACATCTTGCTGTAGGAACACTAGGATTACAGTATGTACTATCACATATGTTGGTCTGTGGCTTCTCAAGATCCAAACTCAGGTCCTCAGACTTGTGTGGCAAACACTTTATCTACCAAGTTCTCTCTCCAGGCCCCTATTTTTGGAGGGGGGAGAGGAGGAATGTTTCACCAATATCACACTTAATTTTGTAAAGCCTGTTCCCACTCTTATATCACTTGAGCCCTATGGAAGCATCACAGTGTTCTTCAGTGACAAGGGAAAATGGAAGCTCAGGAGGGCCCAAAGACTTAAGGTTGAACTGGTCCTTGTGGAGACACGCCACATGGGTGTCTATGGGTATTGTCCATGTGTTTATTTTGTGCCAGGTAGAGGGAGGGCACAGCTACAGAGGGTATTGCTACCTGGAAGGTGACACAAAAGGGAGGCACCCTGGGTGTCATGTTCTGAGTGGTGGGGAACCAGCCTTCCTTGCCTAACTGCCAGCCCACTGTCACCTCTACCTCCCTCAAAAAGTCAGGGCTCTCCTAACCACTAAGATGATTTTGTCATCTCACCTCATTATCCCTGGTACCTTGACAAGCAACACCAGAGACGACAGAGCTACCAGAAACACTAACACCATTGCCTCCTTGAGTGATGGCAAAGATGTAAACTCAAGCCTCCCCTCGATGTCAGCTTGGCTCCACTATGAACAAGCTGTGCAAACAGGGATGAGCTAGCCTCTCTTTACCTCAGGCTCCTCATTCTACAAAGGTAAGAACAGCACAGGTGGACGCTGGAAACATGGTGTCTGCATCTACAGACTCAACTGACCACAAATCAAAAGTATCTGAAGCAGGGTGTGGTGATACATCCCATATTCTTAGTATTTAGGAATCTGAGGCAGGAGGATGGAGACATCCAAGGCCAGCCTGGGCTATACTGAATTCAAGTGCAGCCTGAGTTACACAGTGAGAACCCATCTCAAAAGAAAAAAAAAAAAAAAGGGCATCTATTAAACATGCTGAGATCCTTTCTTGCCATTACTCCCTAAAGCACAGTGGCCATTTAGATAACATTTGCATACTGTATTAATTATTTTACATCATCAAGAGGTGATGCTAAGTACATATAGGTGTGTGTGTACATAGGTTATACACAAAGGCCATGCCATTTTACATAAGGGACTTGAACATCTGCAGATTTTGGTATCTGTAGGGGTCCATGTACATAGGAGACAGCCATGTTGGCCCGGTCCCATGAAGTCATTAACCCTTAAAAAGCACTTAGAACAACAGCAACTAATGCAGAGTTAATGCCTGAGAGTGTTTGTTAGTTTGTGGTGCCAGATGGCTGGACAGCACTTTCCCTGTCCAAAGCTCAGGTGCACCCAACTGTCATACTTCCTCCTCACAGGTGGCTCTGAGCATGTGATGGGCCAGCCAGTCTCCTTTTATAGCTCAGGAGTTAAGTCTGAGAAATGCCACCAATCATTCAGCTAGTAAAAGGGCAGAGCCAAGGCCACACTCCTGATGCCAGGACCCTCCCACCTCACATGCTCCCTGGGTGTTGAGAACACATAGTGCAATGGCACAGAGTGTCCCTCAGGAGGCAGTGGGCAGACGTGGAATAAAGTGCAAATTTTGGGAAAGGCTGTTTGGTGGCTGAGCCTTGGTTACCGTCTATTAGCTGTTGTAAGAGTAAGCTCAGGCTAGGCTGCTGAGACCTCCCAGGGTTGACCTCTCAGTCTCCTTCCGCGGCAGGACCCTGGAATGTTTTGCCCCCAGCCTCTGCAAGTTAGAAGGCATCTCATGTGGTTTGCTGTCCTCTTTAGAATAAAACATAGCCTTCTTTCTCTCCATGTTTGTAGGCAGAAGACGGTGTGAAAGCCTGGATGCTTTTTGGAAAGTCCATTTCCATCCCAGAGTCTCCTTACCTGCAAGGTTCCCTCCAGCCCCTGTTGGCACAACCACTTCCACAGGGGGCAGGGGGTGCCTGTCCAAGGAGGGTGCACACTGAAAATAAGCGAAGAAGTGGTGCGCCATCTGCACCAGCACCCGAGACCAGTTGATGGAGTTCAAGCTCATCAGGTTGTGCCTCTGGACAAAAGCCTCATCAGCAAACAAGGCCTTGATGGGTTCGTCAAGCTCATCACTGTTTCCTTCCACTACCAGGAGAGAGAGAACAGCTCTCAGGAGCAGTAGCAGCCCCTGGCAGGAACCCCAGACTTTCCCAGGGCCCTCCCAGGTTTGGCCCATCTTCTCCCATCTGGCTCATCCTTTGTTTCTTTCACATGTACATGACTTGGCCTGGCTTTCCAGGCTCTGTACAAGCTCCTTAGGGGTAGAATCTAGCTCTCTTGTTCTTGTGATCCTGAGTATTTGTCTTTACTTGGGAGGAAAGAAAACGTTGTGAAACCATTTCCAATGGTCTTGCATTCTATAAAATAAGATAGAAAACATCAACCTTCTGGGATATTGGGAAAAGAATTCCCGTGTATCTCAAGCTTTTGCTATTTTGCAAAGAGTATGTCCTTCACTCTCCTGGAAAGAAAAGGGACTGTTTGCCCAACTGAGGGAATGTGAACTGAGGCTGGGGGCAAATGGTCCCTTCTCCCCTGTGGGTCAAGTGTGGGTGTCGTGATCCCTGCTCCTATGTGCTAGGTAAGCTTGCTTGGGCAGAACTTCTCCCTGAGGCTAGGTGTGCACACTGGTTTAACTTAAGGGGTGAGTTATCGGGTAAATTATCCACCACTCTAACACCAGCACCCCAGTCTAGCTGCCTCAGTAATTGTACCGGTATTGACCCTTACCTGATACCGGCATCTAATTCTCCATTTGGGTCCATACCTGGAGGGAGTGAAGGCTACTGGGAAAAAGCACCAAGACAGCCATTCGGGTTGTAAACACTTCTCTCCTCATCATATTATAGCAGTAAGAAAGGCAGGGGACCAGCTGTAAGTGCCTACGTGAACTCCAAGCAACCCGATCCACTAGTGGTGTCTCCATTCCTTTGCCTCGGCCAAGCCAATTTGTGCCTGTCATGTCCATGGGGTCAAGGGTTGGGTCCAAGATGGACCTGTGAGAAGTTCAGGTTCCTAAGACTCAAAAGGACATTTGCTGGGGTACTAGAGAAATGGCCAGTGCTTTTTCAAAGAGAGCTACAGGAAAAGGGAGACCTGGTTACCTCAACTCTCCATATTGTGACTGCAAGAGAAAGGATTCTAGGACCATGAGGGCAGAACAGAGACTTGGAATCACTTGGGTTCTTGGAGGTAATGTTGAGTCTCAGAACTAATCAAGTGAGAGCCTGCTGCATCTGGGACATCCAGCTATAGACGCTGGGAACTCTTCTTTCAGATGGTCTGAGTTGGATTTTCTGTTACTTCCAGTTTAAAAAACCCAATATAATATAACCAATAAACACCCACTGCTTACTAAGTATTTGGTGCTTAGGAAGCATACAATGTATATGGAAATTTTTACCTTTATAAATCCAGTAGTTGGGTATGATACTTGTTGTGTGTCTTTTTGACTTTTCTGTTGCTGTTATAAGATTCTATGCCTGAGGCAACTTGTAGAAGAAGGAGATTTTGGGAGCGTACAGTTTCAGAAGCTTCAAGTCCATGACTATTATGGCTATGAACATGGCAGCCAGCAGGCAGGCATGGTGCTGGAGCAGTAGCTGACGAGGCAGGGAGAGCCGCCTGGGAGTGGCTGTGGGCTTCTGAAACCTCGAAACACACCCCAGTGACACAGCTCTATCAAGGCCACATCTAATCTCTCTCAAGCAGTTCTGCCAACTGGGGACCAAGCACTCAAATATATGAGAATGGCAGCCATTCTCATTCAAACCACCACATTCTACTTCTTGACTCTCTTGGGCTTGTGGCCATATCATAATGCAAAATGCATTTAAGCCAACTTAAAAAGCCTGTGTAGCCTTCCAGTCTCACCACTGTTGAAAGATCCAAAGTCCAACATCTCTTCTGAGACTCAAGGCAATCTCTTAACTATAATCCAAAGTAAACTCAAAATAAAATAAAACCATGAACTTCCAACATACAATGGCACAGAGCTTGGTGGCCTGAGTTCTCTGGTGCCCATGTAAAGGCAGAAGGAAGGAGGTGCCCCACAGGGCTGTTCTCTGACCTCCATGTGGTCCTGTGTCATGTGCATCTCTCTCATTACACAAATAATGATGATGAATCAACAAAGTTTAAACTCGGCGTCCATGGGGTCCACCCTTCTCCTTGAGCTCACAAAGGGAAAAAACGTATTTTCTATTAGCTCCTGAATATACACACATCCTCCTAACAGTCAAGCCAGAAGGCCCTAAGAAGGAAAAGGACGTGGACAGCACAGCTCATAAACAAACTTGGTGTTTCTAAAGCCTACTGAACTATTTCCTTGATGCACAGGCCACTAACAAAACAGAAACACCTTAGCTCTACCAATAGTTATGACATGCTACATTCATCAGCAGCTACAAATCTGCCACTATTTCACACATGGATGATGTTTTCCAGCCCCCAGGTGATTTCATTCGTGCCCTTAGAAAAAAGCCTTCCAGTATATCTGTACAAGGCAAGAGAGAAGGACTGTAGTACAAAAAGCAAGTCTCTGCATTGATGCAAGGAAAAGAAAGCACTAAACCCAGGACTAGCAAGCTTGGGAAACAGCACAGGACCCTCAGGAGCCCAACCATTGTTCATTAAAGTCTCACAATGGCCATAGGAAACTGTGGCTAGATATGATGTGTAGGAGTTTGGCAGCGGTGGATTAGCCAAGCCACGGACTTTAAACTGGAATGTACATGTGCTTGCTGAAGAAAAGAGCAGAGGGGCTTTTCCTCTGCACTTGAGTAAGCAGACAAAGGGTGTTCTTGCTGCTCTCAAGACTTATTGCCAGTGTTTGAGCTCCTTGTCAACACTGGTATATTAAAGTAAAAACATTCTCTATGGGGTTTGTTCTTTTGAGACACCATGGCCAAGGCAACTTATAAAAGGAAGCATTAAGTAAGCACTGTGGGCTTGTTTACACTTTCAGAGAATTAGCAATCATCGTGGAGAAAGAGTGGCAGCAGACATGGCACTGGAGCAGGAGCTGAGAGCTTACATCTGATGACACAGAGAGAGAGGAGAGAGAGGTTGTGAGATTGGGCCTTGCCTGAGCTTTCGAAACCTCAAAATCTACCTCCAGTGACACAACTTCTCCAACATGACATGTCTCCTAATCCTTCCAGACAGTTCCACCACCAAGGATTCAAAGCTATGAGCTTGTGGAAGCCATTCTCATTAAAGCACCACAGAATTATACCAGGACCCAGGAAAGTTGTAGAATTATGATTATGATTATGATTATTATTATTATTACTATTAATTTTTCAAGACAGGGTTTCTCTGTGTAACCCTGGCTGTCCTGGATTCATTCTGTAGACCAGGCTGGCCTTGTCTACAAAGATCCACCTGCCACTGCCTCCCAAGTGCTGGGATTAAAGGCATGAGCCACCACACCTGAACCTTATTTATCTATTTTTAAATTTGTTTTATCTTATGTACATGGATGTTTTGCCTGCATGTATGTCTGTGTACCATGTGCATGCAGTACCCATGAAGGCCAGAAGGGGTCTGCTGTTGTAGACAGTGGTAAGCTGCCATAGGGGTGGTAGGAATTGAACTCTGTCCGCTAGAATAGAGTAGCCAGAACTCTTAACCACTGAAACATCTCTCCAGGCTCTTACGTTTCTTTACTTATTGCTCGAACATTTCTTGTATCAAGTGAGTGACCAAAAAATCCATGCAAGGCTGCATGGCCAAAGTGTGTAAAACCCCAAGCAAGACCTCTAAACCTCATATTCTTATCCCCCACCTTGAGGTCAGTGAGGTCAGATAGTATGCGAAAGGTGAAAATAAAACTATAACTCCACCCATACTCACCCTCTTCTCCACTATCAATTTCCTAAGAATTAAAATATTTAACCCTCACCCTTCCCTTCCTCACCATCAGTCTCCTGATGACTGGATATTTGGTGTAGCATGAAAAGGCATGGTTTTCTCCTTTCTCCAACCACAGAATGCTACCGTTCCCATGAGAAAGCCAAAGGCCTCGTTATACAAGCAGCTACAGTGGGACTGGTAGTAGGCAGCCCTGGGCAGCTTCCTACTTTACTACTTGGCCCTGTAAACTACATGTACCCCCTCATGGTCTCTCTGACTGTACTGTGAGGAAGGGCACGGACTGCCAACAAACACTGACACACATTTAATTATGAAACATGTTTGCGCCCTCGACACTTCAATGCCCTAGAACGGAGCAAGCTGTTTGGCTTCAGTTAGGGTTCTGCCTACATGTGACACTGGCAAGCGGGACCAGAATGGAGGTAGCATTGACAGACACCTGAATCACCTGTAACAGTTCACCATGGTAAGTGCAGGTGTAAAGCCATATGCCAGCTGGTAGTGAAGACAGTGAAGCCAGAATCCTTCCCAGAGAGAAGCCAATGCACACGACTAGCCCCTTCCACTGCCACCAAAACAGCCAGCCAAGCCAGGACCACACAGCGCCTGCGCCTACCTCCAAACACATGGACGTTCTCCTTCAGCACCGTTGTCATCTGGAGCTCCTGAATCTTCGAGCAGTAGCCTTTGGGCAACAGAACTATGATGTCTACATTCTTGGATCCTTGGATACTCTCAATGGCAGCACTTCCTGTGTCCCCAGAAGTTCCTAGAAAGGAGAGCCCCTCCCTTCAGAACAAGGGGAATAGGTAAAGAATGGAATTGGCCTTAAAATACTGTGTCCAATGCAGCAACATAGGCTTTCAAATACTTGAAAGATGGGCGCTTCATACTTAGCCCAGGGTCCTTGGATATGCTGATAAAATTCAGAACACCCTTGTTTTTAATTGCTGAGTAATATTCCATTGGGTAAATGTACCACAATTTTTAAGTTCACGTCAGGGGTTGTCTCTAATGTGAACTTAGTGGCTGCCTCTTTGATCATCTCCCCTTGAGGAGGGAGCAGCCTTACAAGGCCACAGAGGAAGACAATGCAGCCAGTCCTGATGAGACCTGATAGGCTAGGGTCAGATGGAAGGGGAGGAGGACCTCCCCTATCAGAGGACTCGGGGAGGGACATGGGAGGAGAAGAAGGAGGGAGGGTAGATTGAAAGGGGATGAGGGAGGGGGCTATAGCTGGGATACAAAGTGAATAAATTATAATAAATTAAAATTCAGAACATCAATGGGTACTCTTCCACCTAAAAAGACAGTTCGGAGAAGGATCCACAGCCTCCAGCAGACTGATAAAGGGGACTGTGATAGCTTATCTTGTCAACTTGATGGTTCTTAGAATCACCATGGAAAACACCTCTGAGAATGTCTATAAGAGTGCTTCCAGAAAGGTTTGACTGAAAAGGAAAGACCGACCCTGAATGTAGCTGCAGTCCTGGACAAAACGAAGAAAGCAACTGAGCACCAGCAGCAACGTCGTCTGACTGTGGGGACACTGTGGCCAGATGCCTCATGCTCCTGTCCCAACACCTCCCCCGCCACGTGTACTATCGAACTGAACTGTGAGCAATAAACCTTCCTTCCTTAAGATGCTTTTGTCACAGCAATAAGAAAAGTAACTAATATAGAAACTGTGGCAATAAAAACAGGTCAGAAACCCTCTGAAAACTGGATCGCCACCTTCCTAATGCTGTGACCCTTTAATACAGTTTCTTATGTTGTGGTGACCTCCAGCCATTGCTACTTCATAACTGTAATTTTGCTACTGGTATGGACCATAATATAAATATCTGTGTTTTCTGCCTGTCTTAGGTAAGCCCTGTAAAAGGGTCATTCGACCCGCAAAGGAGTTGCGAGCCACAGGTTGAGAACCACCACTCTAAGAACTGATAGCATAAGCCTTAAAAGGGTCAATCAAGAGCATCTTGTGTGTGGGCACCCTCCAGCTAGGGTGCTAAAGGACCTGCCACTCCCAACACCCACCTACAACAATGGTGACATGCTTCTTCCTCTTCTGCAGGAAGTACTGCAGGAACTGCGCTGTGCAGGACAGGGACAAGTCCTTGAAGGCGTATGTGACCCCATGCCACAACTCCAATATGTTCAGCCCATTCTGAAGCTTGCACAGATGGACCACATCTTTGTGGCGGAATCTGCTGAAGGCTCGGTCAATCAGATCTAGTAGAGATCAAACAGAAGGTGACGATGTTAGCTTTCCAAGTTCTCTTATTGTCTCAGCCTCTCCTCCCCCAAAATATCATCTTAAATGACACACTTCGGAACAGACTTGCACAGGTCTAGAAAAACCTGGGAGGACATTTATTAAACTGCTCATACGTTACTCTAGAAAAATGTCTAGTTTTCATTTTGCATGCTTTTTCACTGGGACTTTTTATTTTATTTTTATTTATCTTCTGTGAACGGGTGTTTTGCCTGCATGTATATATGTGTCCCATATGTGTACAGCGCCTGACAATGCCAGAAGGGGGAGTCAGATCCCCTGGGGCTACAGGTAGAGATGGTTATGAGCCACTATGTGGATTCTGGGAACTGAATCCAGGTCCTCTGGAAGAGCAGTAAGTGCTCTTAATCTCTGAGCCATTTCTCCAGCTCATTTGAGTCTTTTTATAAGCATGTATTTCAATAGAAGATCAAGTCATAGAACAAATAAGTCAGTTTCAACCTCCTAATTTTCTTCCCTAAAAATGTAAGTTTTGTTAGTTTATTCTTTATAATACTAAATCTCATAACTGTGGTGTCAGGACTTGGGCATGGTTGATATACAAACTTAGCAACAGTTTAGAACTGAGCTTCAGGAACTTCTGTTTGTGGACCACATCTGGGACCTTATTAAAATACAGAATCTGAGTCAAGAATTCTCATGTGACTTTGAAAAGTCTAACAAAAAGTCTAACTGTCCAGGCAATGCCATCAGTGTTAGTCAGTGGAACACATTCTGTGTGGTCCTCTTCTCTCCCTAACTCCAAGCATCTTCCACTAATGTGCTGGTTAGTATTTGTCAACTTGATACAAACCTAGACACATCTGGGAAAAGGTAGTATCAGCTGAGAATTTCCTCCATCAGATTGGTCTGTAGGCAAGTCTCTTTAGGGGTATTTTCTTGTTTAATGACTGTGTAAGATTTGCCCCGCTCACTGGGGGTGGTGCGAACCCTGGGCAGGTGGGTCAGGTATATAAGGATGAAGGATGAGCAAACCAGGAAGAGCAACCCAGTAAACGTGTTCCTCCCTGTCTTTCTGCTTTGGTTCCAGCCTTGAGCTCCTGACTCTGACTTCCCTTGGTGATACAATGAGATCTGAGAGTTACATGCTGAAAGAAACCCTTTCCTCCACAAGTTGCTCTGATCACAGTTCTTTATCACAGCCATAGAAACCCTGACTAAAAACATCAGCCTATGGATTTTTTCTTGTCATTTAAAATGTCTCCTGTGAACCAACACAGCCATGTTCCCCACTGTGATGGTCATGGACTCTAACCCCCCGAAGCTCTAAGTCCCAAATAAACTTTTTTTCTCTAAGTTACTCATAGTGACTTATTACAGCATTGAAAAGTAACTATATACTCCAAAACCTGTTGAATCACAATCTGCCTTTAAAAATGAGGTCTTCTGGGGAAATCCGTTGCCTATTATGGAGACAAACTGTCCCAGGACACAAAGCAGGACAAAATAGTAATCTGCTGTCCTGACAAATGAGGAAGACATTCATCGACACAAGCATTTGGGATGGCTGGAAAATCCTTAGTCTTTATGTTTTTAAATAATAATCATTTTTCAGTGGGCCACTTTGTCATTCATCTCAGTGGAAGCAGAACAGAGTAACTGAAGATTCTGGATATTCTAATTCTGAAATTCTAGAATCAGGAAAAAGCTTGCAAGATTTGAGAAAGGCAAGTAGGAATTTCTTTCTTTCTTTCTTTCTTTCTTTCTTTCTTTCTTTCTTTCTTTCTTTCTTTCTAGTGGTTTGGTGATGAATTGAAAACTGAAGGAGGGAGTGTGTGGAGCTGTGCTGGGGACTGAGGAGCCCTCACCATTTAAGTCATGTCTTGGAATAAGCTCCTGGCCAATGAAGAGGGCGCACAGCTCCTTCACCAGGCTGCGATAGGAAAGCTTGCTCCAGTGACGCAGGGTCTCTCGGTCCAGCTGCGGAAGCTCTTCCGGTATATAGAGGCCCCCATCCGGTGCATATCCAGAGAAGAGGGCCCCCTCAAAGTTGACCCGTGGGGCCATTCCCCGGGTGGTGGTGTACCACATGATGCTGGAGGCCTGCAGAGGGACAGGTCCACAGGCAGCTGTTCTTCAAGTTCCCAGCACCCACAGGATGAAGCTGAGTACACATGGTCCTCTGACCTAACCTCTGAGCCACCACTCACTGGGGTATATATCTCAGACATGGTGATGGCAACCCTAACTGGAGTCTTGATCCTTCTGATCAAAACAGGCAACATTCCACTGAGCGTGCAGATATTGAAGCATGCTGGGAAAAGAGAATCACAGCCCTTATCAATGATGAAGAAGAGTGAGGAATGGAGAAAGATCAGATCAATGTCAGGTAGCTGTTAACCTGACAGGAAAACACCAGGACAGCTGATTGGTAAGTGCCGGTGCGGACGTGGGGGAAGGGGGACACCTATTCACTGTTAGAGAGAGGGCAAGCTTGTGCAGCCACTATAGAAACTGGTGTGGAGAATCCGCATAAAGCTAGAAATGGATCTACCAGATATACCATCTCTGGTACATGTGCAAAGGACTCTGTATCCTCCTGCAGAGAAACCTGCTCATCCATGATCACTGCTGTTCTGTTCACACCAGCCAGGGACTGGAAACCACCCAGATGACAGGATAGCTGCGAGTCGGATTTCTTTAGGGATGCAGGCTCTGAAAGGCTACGCATGCTCCAGTAGATGGTCCCACTTCCATGTACTAAGTGGACTTAGTGGCTTTGTTTGTTTGTTTGTTTAAAGAGGGAGAGCACATGAAGCAAATGGTGGGAACGAATCACAGAGGAAGGAATGTGAAAGATATCTGATCAAAATACATTATTTATGCAGGTGTGAATAATGTGTGTGTCCCCTCAGTCTTATTCAAATCAGGATGGTTGGGCGTTTTTACCAATAACCAGCACCCTGTCTTGCAGCTAATTCTAGAAGGCTGGCAGTAGAGCTTCCATGCTGTCTTTGAAACTCTCTCTAGCCATGGCTGATTGGCTCTGGCATGGATTCAGGGTCTTATGGTCCTTTGAATAAGACAGAGACAACAGCAGAATTTAAGGTTTCCAGTATTCTACAGGGGTCAGTTTGACTATACACAACTCTCAATACCACTTAGGCATTTCTGCATCCCGGCCCATAAGAGGGGGAAATCTGACATTGACTTGGAAGAATTCTTGTTTCCCTTTCCTTCCCTTTGGCCTCCCCCTGTCTCTGGAGATGGACCCCAGGCCTATAGGAGGCTTGTTCTGCCACTGAGCTCCACCCCCAGCCCTGAAACTGTGGCTGCTCTGACACCTGTGGGTCCACAGTGAGTTCTACGGGAGCTGCCTACAAATGCACGGGCGGGCACAGTTAGGGACAGGGTGTGCTAAGCCTGACCCTTTGACGCTGCAACACGACTCTGCTATCTATAAGGTTCAAGCCTCAGAATGGTACCTAAGTGAATAAATGAAACCACATGCTTTAGATAAGTTCACAACTTTGTTTCACAGCGACCCTCAGCCACGTGTGTCAGACATTCCTGAAACCGAGAATATCATTAAGTACAACTGGGTGGATTTGTGATGCGGGGACAATGGGTATACACAGAAATGACTTTAGGAATCTGGGATATATAGTCAGCCCACACAGATGTTCATGAAAAGAACAAAATCCAGACAATCCCAAAAGCCCAATGCAGTGGATAAACAGCACTGTCTCAGCTTTTCAGAAGGCAGAAGTAGGGTCAGGAGGTCAAAGGATTAGCAGTGCCTTCAGTAGCCACAGCGAATTCTGGAATGCTGTGTGGCCTGTGTCAGCGCCTCTGTGAACTGCCCTGAAATCCTTGCTGCATAACTTTCCCGGGCCAGACGCAAAGAAATGCTATGAGGGAGCTATTACCAAAAACCCTAGCCATACAAACTGCAGGTGCTGTGACAGGGCAGAAGAAGCAGGTAGGCGCTACCTCGAACATCTAAAAGAACATTTTCCCAAAACCCCGTCTTCAGTGGAATGGACCAATGGTACCCGGGCACCAAGGTAAGCTCCGTATTCTGCAACCCAAGAAAGCCATGAACAAGAAACAGAGGCAAGAGCCTGGCTTGAACTCAACACACGCTTAAGAAGCTGACCTGGTTAGCTTACAGGCTCAAGCCCGTAAGGGCTGTCTCGGTTCTGATGGATCACGTCAAGGGACATCAGATGAAAGCTACAAGAAACATAGCTAATAGCTCTTTGTTTTGTTTTGTTTGTTTTTAAAGCAAAGCTCAAAAAAAACGAATCAGCTGAACCTTCACTAGACTGCGTATGAAGGTTCTGGATTCAGACCTCCACGGTACATTATTGTAGAATTACTTTTGGGAACTTCTCTGGATTTTATTCCAGAGTGGAGAGAGGCCGGTAACCACGATCAATAATAATAACAGTAATATCCACCTTTGGGGCGGGCTTTGGCTTCTGGGAAGGCATGGAGACCTGGTGAGCTTCAGCTCACTAGCCTCAAGTTGGAGTTAGGGCAAGGCCTGGGCCAGGGAGGGAGGTCTACACCCGCTGGCGGGTTCGCAGAGGCCTAAGGCTCCTCCCCAGCCTCTGAACACAGCCCACTGTCCCGGGTCTCTTTCTGCACTGCCCAACCCTGCTGCAGGTGGAAAACAAGAGAAACCCTCCAGCGCTGGCTGCTTGTGTCCAAGCCCGGGCTCGTCTTTAGACGCTGGCTGGGAAGCCGGGCTGGGCTGCGGGGACCAGCACAGGCCCCAGGACTCAGATGTCAGCGCGCGGGGGTGGGGGTGGGGGCGACGACACGCGCGAGGTTACCGTGGGGGAACAGAGCTGCCTGGTGACCGGAGTCCAGTGGGAGACGTGCACGCAGGATTCCGCTTTCCTCGCAAAGATTCTAGTTCAGTGCCAAGTCTGGGGAGGAGCTCCTACGAGGGCGGCGGAGGAGGGGCGTGGAGGGGCGTGGAGGGACGTGGAGGAGGGGTGAAAGAAGGGGCTTGGAAAAGGAGAAGGGGCGTGCTCACCGAGCCCCTCTGGGGCTTGTAAAGCATAGAGACGTCTGGTGGTTTTGCCAGCCCTTCCCTCCTCCTGTGGTCTCTGCTGTCTAAGTGGCTACATGTATCAGTTTCAGAGTCTCCTGAGTAGGAGGCACAGATGGAGCCAGAGGCTTGCCAGGGAGTTGACAGGAGGGACAGAGGGGCCAACCCTTTGAGGGGTAGAGGTCAGTCGGGGATCTCCTCCAAAGTGTTTCTGTGCCTTCCGTTAGGTAGGCCAGGAAAACTGAGACTCACAAGACGCCATAGAAGTCAGCAGCTTTTGTTACAATGCTCCCAAAGAAAGGTTTCTCAGCAGCCCCATCCAGCACCATCCACAGGGCTGTCTACCAGGCTTCCTGCCTGCCTCAGTCCGGCCTACAGGACAGCACCATCCTGCGGCTCAGGGGCAGGAGGCTTCTTCTGTGAAGTGTGCTTTGGTTCCTCACTTAGGAGAGGAGCTAATGGCTGGAGGGACAACCGCAGGACAGGAGCTACGGAAGGCCCCGGGAGAAGGCTGAACTCCGAGAGCAGGCAGCACAGTAAACTTCGGTGTTCATTTTCTCTCTATTTGTTGCATCCACTTATGAGTTTCTTTCATTTTCTTAACAGTCTTTTATTTTCATGTATTTTCAGGTTTTTCTTCTATTATTATTTAGTACAATTTATTCACTTTGTGTATTTTCAGATATTATAAATATATAGTAATTAGTTATATCAGACAATCAGTCTAGAGCTGGAGACTGGATCAGTTCAAAGCATTGGCTGCTTTTCTGGAGTTCAGTTCCCAGCACCCGCAGGACAGCTCAAAACCATCTGTAATACATTTACTCTTGGCCCTAGATTGGGGGAGAGAATGGGACCCAACTCTCTCTTTCGACCTCCATCCCCATCACACGTGCAAGTGATGCAAGAGAAACCCCCACACACATAAAATAATAAAAAATAAAAATCAACAGACAGATGAGGTAAAATTAGATGTAGCCCTTCATAGGCTGTCAAAATTGATTTAGTTCTGAGGCCACACACATAATTTAAAAAACAAACAAACAAGCAAACAAACCACAGTAGTTGCATCAAGAGAGAGCGGAAAGAATCAGTGCGATTCAAAATAATTAAGCAGTGTACTTTGCTTTCATTCACAGAGTAAACGGCAGATCTGTGCAGGACTCAGAGGTTCTTTGACATGGTCATGTGAGGAGGCTGGACATCTAAGTGAACCCAAAGGAGAGAGGAAGCTTCGGTGACCAGGGCTCACAGCTTCTCTGTCGTTCCTTTCCTGGCTGCTGTTTCAGTTTATAATCAGCCACAACGGCCTTGATTATGTCAGAGCTCTGTGATGATGTCGTGGTTTTAAAGATCGGGGCTAGCTCCAGGTCTTTCCCTCCGGTCTTCGCTCAAGGGCACTGCAGAGCCACTGCAGAAGAGCAGCCCAATGTTTTCAGCGTGAGTGCCAGCAATCGTCTCTGTCCCCTGTTCATCCACTTGAATCTGTTCTTTCAGAACATCACGAGGTGACACACACACCAATCAAGTTCCAACCTCGAGTTTGTAATCCTCATAAGGACCCCCAACCATCTTATGACAGAACCTGGTGGGAACTGGCCGCTCCCAGAAGGACAGCTCAGGCTCGGAAGCAGCCCCAGGGCAGACTCCACCAGCTTCAGAAGGGCTCACCCAGGCTGCCCACCAGCGAACTGTGTCCTCAGGGAAGATAAGCCTGAATTTCTGGTCCTCCTGCTCCAACCCACCAGTGTTTCTCTTGGGAAACCTTCTGCACTTAGATGCTGATGGCGGTTGCACATATTTGTAAATTTATAAAGGGACTGTGGGATTGTGTGTGCCAAGGAAGCGAAGCCTACGCTTTGTAAGTTACAATTAAAATTGTGAAATGTGTATATATACACACATATATATATATATATATATATATATATATATATATATATATATATATATATGCTTCTCAGATAGGAAAGTGTCCAGGGTCCCAAGGAATAGGCTGAGTCCAGGAAGGAGGTTGGTGCTGTGCTGTGACCAGAATCCCAGGATTTATTGTTGCCTGTTACTTTCAGATGAATATTAAAACTACTTTCTCCAGAGAGCTGGCAATCTGAGAAGACAGTGGGTTATTTAAACTGGATGGTTGTTTAACGTTAACTGCTGTGGGGTGTCCACCAGTGAAGACCGCCTGGAAGTGGGTCTAAGCCAATAGGAGGTCTCTATTAGCCAGCCAGCAGTTACACTGGGTGTTTGGGCTCACAGTGCACCACTGACTGTCTCAGGGTGAGCTCTTAAACACAAAGGCCAGGTCCTACGTTGACATACTTGAGTTAACAGAACAGTTAGCCAGAAGGGGAACTACAGAGGCTAAAAAGCAAGGATGGCACACTGTGAGACTTTCCCAGAACTATATGGACTTTGATGGATTAGGTCTTTGTTGGAGTTTTGGCAGGTGGGGCTGTCTATGTGATGAGTTCTAGGACCTGAATGCTACTTCCATCATGGAGTCAGTTGTGCTAAGGTCTGAGACCCTGTTACATTAACATCCCCCAAATCTTCAACTTCACTTCTGGCTGACTCAGTACATGGGGCAGAGGTTCTTGGTATATCAGATATTCACATTACAATTCATAACAGTAGCAAAATTACAGTTATGAAGTAGCAACAAAATAATTTTATGACTGAGAGTCAGCAGAACATGAGGAACTCTATTAAAGTGTCACAGCGTTAGGAAGCTTGAGGACCATTGACATAGGCAGAAAGGATGTGGAGACAAAGCCACTCTGTCATTCTGGAGCTCAGTCTTGCCCTTCAGGCCAGGGGCCAGCCCACCCCTGAGACCTGTGTCTTGAGTCTCTCTCCTTATCACCCCTTCACTCCTTCCTCCTGTGGATGTGTGAGCATGTGGGCATAGGCATGTCTTAAAATGCAGTCAGTTGTGTGTGAGCATGTACAATAGTGTCCACTATCAAGCGTGAGGAGTTGGGTGTTGCTCTCTTTCTCTGCCTTATTTGAGACAGGGTCCTATTAGTGATGCGTAAGCCAGGCCAACTACCCAGATTCACCTCATAGGAGCTTCAGGATTCACACATTTACATTACTACATCTGGCTTTTTCACAGGTTCTAGGGTTGTGTGAATCAGCCTGATTCCACACTGTGAGGAATGGTACCCATAAACAAGTCTCTGTAATTAATTAATAATGAAATACAAGTATATTTTCTTTCAAACTTTTGTGTGTTAAGTTTTCAAATGGCTACCAAGTTTTTAAGCCATAAATACTTATTAAGTCATTTGGGCTTAATTACATAATTACTTCATAAGTGAAAGCGTTAGCATTTCTATTGCCGAGGGGCACCATGGGAAAATGCCAGAGACATACAGGGATCAGGGAACACAGGATGGTTGGGGAGTTCTAGTCCAGTGCCTTCTGTCACACAGTTGTGTGAACTTGCCTGAGTGTATGGCTGGTTACTTTGCTTGCCTTGGGCCAGACCTGAGAAGAAAAAGAGAAAGACCAGAAAAGTCATGGTTTCATCATCTTTTACTGTTTTTATTTGTTGGAGGTTTTAGTTTCATTTCTGTGGCTGTGATAAAATAGCATAACTGAAAACAATGTGGGGAGGAAGGGGTTTATTTCAGCTCACAGTTCCAGGGTAAAGTCCTTCATAGTAGGAAAGTCACAGTGGCAGGAACTTGAAACAACTGTTCAGATCGACAGTCAAGAACAGAGAGAAATTAATACATGTATACTTAGTGCTCAGCTCCATTTCTCTACTCCCACACAATTTAGATCCCCTACCTAGGGATTTGTGTTGCTCACCTGTTGTAGTAAATAAAAAATATGGAGTGTTAAGCTATATAATGCTTATTATTATTTGACCTATGATATCATTGTGGTATTATCTAACCTGCTATCGTAAATAATAAGACACAGACACATGTTAGATTTTATAATTGCCTTATTTACCTTGGGCTGGGCAGATAGTCTTACCTGCACTATCTGAATCACCTCACCATCTATCTCCCAGCTCCCATCCAATACCATCCTCCTAACCATCCTATCTTCCATCCATATTCTTATAAATACTTGCTTTTATTCTTTATCTGGGCCTTTCCATGCCATTATTGGAGTCCTTCCTCCCAGCCCCATGTGGTTTCTTCTCTAGGCTAACCCATCAAGGCATCCTCTTTCTACCTTTCTTCAGTCTGTCTGTTTCCATGATTCTCCTCAAAAGTCCATGAACCCTAGCCATGCCTACCCTATTCTCACCCAGGTATAGGCTATTTAATCAACCAATCAGACGCCTTAGACAGGTTTACACAAACAAGGATGGCAGTGACCAGATCTTCAGGGCCAGTAATTATCATTAGACCAACCTCCAACACTCATGTTTGGTTTGGGACTTCTCACCTCAGCTAACATAATTAAGATAGCCCCCCATAGACATATCCAGAGGCTATCCTGAACTAAAAGCTCCCTTACTTGACTCTTACATCAGGTGATTCTAGAGTGTTTTGACAATTAAAATGATCAAAATGTTTCAGGGTGGAGATCCAAAGCCCACTTTTTCGGCCAAAGTCTGAATTGAGAGTTTATATTAAGCTGCCAGCAACTTCCTGGAGAGAAACACTGTCACAGAGCAACCCTGAGTGCATGCTACAGGGAGCTTTTAAAAGCAAAGAACATAAAAATTACATATGCTGGTTAGCAGCTGTAGGAGGAAATAAAGCAAGCAAGCACTTTAACAGAAGCCAAAAACATGCAGTTAGCTGGGGCATGTCAAGCCCAGATTTCTGCAACAGGGTTGGATGCTTTACCATGGGACCTTCCAAAGCAGTGTAGAAAAGAGGATCAGTCTCAGGTTAAACTGAAAA